GAAGTCATTAAGGTCTGAAACGTGTTGGTAAACATTACCGAAAAGTACTATAATACTGCCAAAAAACAAACAGGACTAACGGAAACGTTAATAACGCTCATGCTGCAATCCATAGCTCTTTTCATTCGGTACGAGCCGTGCATGCTGTGTCAAAGCACGTAATTAGTATTTAGGAAGGTGGTAAGAAAGGCGAGGTCGTGGGCCAGACGTCGGGTATCGATCCAGCGACCTGCCCCACTCCTGCCTCCATAGGGGGAGTCGGGAGCCACGCACATCGAGCCACCAATTGACACACTTAAGGTAATACTTGGCACTTACGACGCTGCCTTCTTTGCAGTTAGCCAAACGCTCATCGCTCACTAAGCTAAGTTTCAAAACTACTTCACGTAAATAAATGCAAATCTTTACGGAATACTGAATAAATAGGTACAAGGAAACGAACCGATTTCATTTTCTTTATATATTTAATTTAGCTGTGTTGGTATTTTCGAATAGAAGGTACTGTGCTGGCAGAAATAGCAGAAACTTACTATAAAGCTCGACCCAGTTGGCTTTCAGCCCGACGCTGGGTCGTGCCGGCATACGTACAAATAAATGCATTACTTAACCTTGAAATCGTTACTATATAAAACAACTTTCCTTTGTCATCCTTACGATAAAACAAAATTATATCCATACGTTTATATTAATGAAAACAATATCTACAAACTTTGTATGTATACAACATAAAACTTTAAGTGTTAAAGAAAAGATTATCGAATAAATCATTACTAATGAAGTGTAATTAAACGTTCAAAACGTGGCAATATAAATGTAAGTTATATTATGTAGCTTAATTTTTACAAGCTAAGACTTTGCGAGACAATTCCCAGATGTCCTACTTCCACTTTGCGTTGCTATAATTATACACTCGGAGCTCTCCAAACTTGCTTCCTCTTATATAAATACAATTTCCGGCAGAGGAATTAGAAAGGAAAATAAGCAGAGCACGCAGATTGTCCGAAGCAATGTCGCGTTGCACTTTGGGGGCTCTTGGGACGGGTTAGACATTGGGAGAGGGAGGCGTGGGGTGGTTTAAAATCACCCGCAATCATTTATACCCGAACTGGCAGTGGAATTACTAGCTGTCACTAAATTCTAGAACATTCTCTCGGGTGCTTAACATTGCTTCTCCCTCACACAGACCTATCCAATAAAGTGTATTAAGAACAGCAATGTATACGCTTCATGGCTTCGTTACCTCCTAAACTTGTCTCAAATATAACAAGGAGCGCTGCACATTTCACTCCCTATACTAGAATGTTCTCACGGCATATATATACATATGTACATGTGTAGGTATTACGTGTAGTTGTACCACCCAAATAAATTATTTTCAGCAATTACTTAGCTTTTCAGGAACGGTAAAATATTCAAAGACATTAGATAGTAAAACGCGAATATCTTAATTGAGTGTAGGTACATTACATAAGTATCTATAGTTTGTCAACGTTTATGTCGTAATAAGTTTTACATATTTTAAATAACTAAATAAACTTCGATTAGAGAGAGGTACGTAGATAAGTGGTACGTGAGATATGAGATGCGAAGCTATTCGTGTCAGGAGTATGTATCCATGACCTACTTCCTAACACCCCTGTGCCCACTTCGTATATTTTGGTCTAGGTTATGTCATAAACTTAAACCTAGATACCCTATCGTGTGTTAAGAGTATAACATGGAGTATAGAGGATAATACCGGAGTTTAAATTAACGTAAGTTTATCGACTGTAATAAAATCCTTACGTAAAAAAAATATTATTATAGTAATGATTATATTATTATTGATTTAACGCAATAATACTTTAATTTACCTTTGTTTCAGTATAAGTTAGTTCGTTTCAGTTAAAGCAAACAAAGACAAAATTAAGTGGACAACGAGGTTCTCGGCAATAAAAAATAAATTAAGCATTGCTATTATAAAAATATATCGATTTATATTTTTTAGCTAAGAGGTGAAAATATTGAATATTTTAATATTGGCCTTGAAAACATGATAGTGTACATCTATAGGTTTACGCCACAGTCAATTTTATAAAGAATCTAAGTTTATGGGAAAATATTAAGGTGTTGAAAGTTTGCGTTGTTGTTTAATAATATAATAGTTCAATTTCAACGGCAAACTCTCTTGATTTCTTTTACACATCAAATGTTAAACGGATGGAATGGAAACGATCTTCCATTAATATTGTATTAACTCAGAACTTTATAGTTTCACTGCTCCAAGAGTATCAATTAAAGATTTAACTTTAAGCTTATAAAACATTAATATTAAAGTAGGTATTTCTCCGAAAAGAGATTTAAACACACAGATAAATGGTCATTTTTCCAAAATTTATCTTTTAAGTGTTGCAATTAATATGAGGAGAAAATTTAATAATGGAATCCTAAAATAATTACAAACAATTAGAACGCTTTGTAGGTAGAACATTATTAAAATTTATTTCTAACTAAAAACGAATAAAGTACAAAGAAACAGGACCACTTTTAATCATATTTAAAGTTTACAATGTCGTCTGGGCTATTTCCATCCGACAATTTCATGCTTTTACAGTAGCGTAGGTCAGGCTTGTTAAACTTTTTCATGAGCCCTATCTCGGTCAAGTTTCTCGTAAATTATTGGCTCCACTCGACACTTCCTTATTCAGTAAAATAGAAGCAAACTTTAATAAAACAGCAAAAAAAAACGTTACTTTGAACGTTTTCTTTTCTAAGCATCTGTTATAAAATCATTACAATGTTGTATGCGTTTTAAATCCCAAATTATAAACCTTACTAACTGATACGAAAGCGTAGTCGGTATCTGTCTGAACCTAATGTATAATGATAAAATCAATGCATATCGCTGCTTTTCCACGCAATCTCCACACAAAACTAATTTACTTAGCACCTGTAATTATGTGTTACAAATTAAGCGAGCAGGCATATATGTTGTAGTAAGATTTATTTTTTGGTTTTATTATAGTTCCCAGTTTTTCTTTTATTTCTTAATTTAATTTAACATACATATTTTTATATCTAAGTTTATAAAGAATATCACTAAATGAGAACATGGTATGTTTTGATTCACGTAACTTCATCCCATGGTGCGCTCGCTCGTACGGTCGCCTCGTGGTTAATTAAAAAGTTAGTGCACCTGCCGTAATTGCCAGGCTAACCTAAATTTAGTAATACCCGAATAACTCTAAGTATATTAAGCACACGTGTAAAGCTGGCTTGTTAAATTATTAACTAAACTATAGTCGATTCGGTATCATTACGAAAATCCTACTTATATAAATATACGATGGCATAATCGTTTCAGAAACCCCTTTTGAGGAGGCGATTTTTCCTAAGATTATTATATGCGCACGGCAGGGGCTTAAATTAGCATGTGTAATGAACGGTTCGCTCTGTGTCGCGATTACCACTAATTGCCACGTCTAATTAAATGGAATATCATAATCGCATACATTCCACATTCTAATAACGAATTAGGCGCATTCGCTGGTTCTCTTAATAATTACGTTAACGAACGCGGGACTCGTACGTTCTAATAGTAATCAGTTTGATGCAATTTCTAGTTAAAAGATGCGATGCAAACCAGTCAAATTTCCCCATCATGAACAAATATACCTATGTAAAATTAGTATCTTGTTTGTAACCTTAAAAGACATATAATACAAAGATTATAATTGAAGTAAGTTGAAACCGATCTTTAGAGTGGAGCCTTTTTCTTATACATTTTTATAAATTCAACTGCATCATATAAAAAATAACTACCAAAGATTCTTTTAAGAATTAATTTCATGTCAACTGAATAAGAGTATATAGTAACATGGAATGATAAATATTACAGTTTGTGAATTTTGATCTTTTTATTGGATCTTAATAAAATTGGTTGAGCATTAAAAAAAATTTAAAAAAAAGGTAATGCCAATGACCTCCTTAATATTGTAAATACTTTGATGGTAAGATATATTTCTTTAATTTCTATGGTTTTAATATCAATACTAGAGAAATATTTTCCAGTCTTTTGTTACTAAACAGTAAAAATCACTGATTAGACTGAGACAACATTTTATATATAAAGTTAATTAACTAAAGAGCGAACGATATATGTAGAATTCGCAACCTTTGTGACATTATTTATAAATAGTAAATATCTCAAAACAACTTATCGCAAAAATAGGGAAAGATAATAACTTGCCTCCTTAAATATTTTTTTTATTTCAGGCATTTTTTCGACGGGGATTACCATTTAAAACCTAAAGCTGACTTAATCAAAATTTGTTATCTTCATTAACTTGATACTTTTTCATTAATTGAAGAGTGTAATTACAACTGCACATTGTTATTACAAACCACACAATAAACAAAAAAAAATTAAATTGTTCCTTACCAATTTGCAACGGTTTTATATCAACTACCACTTTAAACAGTAAAATTAAAAATAGCAGAAGCAAAATTAACACTTAAATATTTTGCAAGCAACTATGATATTATTTTTTATGCACATATAAAACAAGTACTGTCTCTCGAATTAATTCAACAGTAACGGATAAAAAATAATCTAATTTATCGCAATTATGGGTTGTATTAAAAAGAAATATATCATACTGATAGAAATATAAAAAATAAAATCAAAAATCTGTTGATTTCTTATTAAAAACGCCATCTGTATTTCGTATAATAAAGCTAAGCTAAATTGTCTACTTTACACCGATTAAAATGAATTAATAGGTTTTTAGGATTATTTAAATAAATAGAATACAAAATAATATTTTTTATTCTCATTGCAGTGTCTAGCACATGAACACTGTTCAATACTACGCTCGGTTCCGTAGTACATCGTAAACAGGTGCAAATAACATTACACAAATAAATTGTGTCTAACACATTCTATGATTCGTAACGTATTTATTCTTACATAATAACTCGACCTATATTTACATATGATCAACATAATTTAACTACAATCGTTAGGGACCGTGTAGTTTGCTTAAGACCGACTCGATATCAATGTTCTGTATATTCGCGGAGTTGAGTAAGTACTGTGTTTCTGGTTTGGTCTTCTTATTAGTTGAATCCTCTAGCGCGCCACTTTGAGATCTTTTTCTCTTCTTTGTATCTTTAATTTCCGCGTGTTCGACTTCTAATACAATCTCCGTTACAGTTTCAAACGTTTCTCTAACATCGTCTTGTTTTATCGGCGTGTCGAGACTGGTTAATGTTGAGTCGAATATATCATGGCACGTCAATCCCCTTTGTTTCATCGGTGTATACAACTTATCTATATCAGATATCGATTTAACAGCCGCCTCGGTCTCTTTATAATATTCCGTTGCTTCCATTCTATCTTCAAATAAATCTATGAAGTTTGTAGCTCTCAACCTTATAGTGACATCGTCGTCTATGCAGAGTTCCATTGAGTATTTGTCTTTTAATTTCGATATTTCTTTAGGTATAAATTTAGTTTCATCGAAGGTGTATGTGATGAAATTTTTGCTATTCTCATCACATTCGCTGACTGAGAATTCAACTTCATCAACATCAGCCTCGTTTTGGCTGTCATCGCTGTAAGTAGATTCAATTCTATCTGAATTATTCTGAACGATCGCTTTTTCATCTATAGATTTTCTTTCTCTAGTCGGGTTAGTGTCAAGCAAGTCACGTTCAATGCTCTTAGCTGTTTCAACATCAAAACCCCTTTTGATAAGATCAATATGAAGACTAGCTTCAGAATTAATTCCAGTACATTCTGTTTTAGAGATCGTTTCTATGTATTCTTTTATTTTACTGATGTCTTCCTCATCGCAGGCACTAGAAGGTGTTTTAGATTCTCTGGGCCTTTCTTTGCCATCCTGGGAGCCTTCATCGGACCATCTCAGTGATAATTGCTCGATATCAGATTCATTGCTACTTGTCATACATTTTCTATCTACGCCCGCTTTTGATTTGTCTGAGTTATTGAAATCGTAATCCGTATTATATGATTTCGTGCATTGTATTTTTCTTGGTGTGGAGGATTTCCTTCGTGATTTCGTTGGTGCAGCAAGAATTGGCGCTAAGTTAACGCTCTTAGTTTTACTGGACGTTCTATTTCTAGGTTTTAAAGCGCTCCCGGGTGGCGTATCGGTCTTTCTTTTGCTCTTATTGTAAACATCTTTAATTGGAGTCGTACGTCTCGGTTTAATCTTCATAAACTTTTTCGGGGTCTGTTTCTTAGCGGGTGATTTCTGAACCGAAATATTAGTTTTCTTTTTGTTCTCAGTTTTAGTTTTTTTCTTTTTGGATTCCATAGTTTTAATAGGTTTTTTGTCCAGTGAGCTAAGGCTGCTAACTTCACTACTTTCTGATGCCACGTCATCTTTTTCTTTGTCGCCTGATTTTGCGTTGTGTGGACTCTTGTAGTAGGAAACGTGTTTGGTGCACTTCCTTCGCGGCCGACTCGGTTTTTCAGTTTTATCTCTTTTATCGTTATCTAAAGTTTCATCTTTCTTTTGTTTAGACTCTTGTTTAGTAACTGCACATTTCAGTATGTCGGGTGGTATGTAATCCTGATCGTCAGGTTTATAATAACTTCCTCCACTAGAATAGTCAGTGGGTCGCGAAGAATACGGCGTTGATATAGTTTTAGGAGTATTTAAGAACAGCGGAGTGGGTATACTCATAATTTTAATATCTGATATGGGTTCGCCGGGAATGTCCGGGCCTAAAAATTTGGGAGTTTCCATCTGTATGTCATATAAGACTTGCTTGTATGGTGTTTCTAACAAGTCTGATATATTTAGTCTGGCTCCGATGACGTTTTGTAGCGCTATCCTATCGTTTTCTGGGGTATCAACGCGATCTTCATTGATTTTCGGATCGCTTATATCTTTTTTAGAGTTATCTATCTTGCAAGTACTGTTAGTATTGAATGTTTCATTATCTTCATTACCAATTCCAGGGCCTGGAGTTTTTTCATCAATTATGATGGGTTTCGCCTCCACTATTTCAACTGAATTTCGTTTTTTCTTTGTTTTTTTAGGTTTGGTTGTAACAGTTTCTTTTGACACATCTGCTTTATTTTCTGTATCTTTCGAGGTATCTGCTTTACTTTTATTCTTCTCGTCTTTGGGTGTGACTTTCTTCTTACTTTTCACTTTTTTAGGATTAGGTATGGGTGCGGGTACAAACACTTCATCATTTTTCACAGCCAGCACCCTCAATTCGGCATCCCAGTTGCGTTTTTTCTGCTCCTTCAGATTTTTCTCTTTAGCTGATATATTCTTATGGCTATCAGTTTTCGGAACACTAGTGTTGACGGAACCGGAAATAACGTTGGTATGTACAGGTATATCAGGAACCACATTGACTTCCGACTGTTTGACTTCTTGCTCATTTATATTTTCATGTAAAATTCTTCTTGGCGTTGTGAAATCTAAAACTCTCACGTGCGACGATCTTCTCGGTGTTGATGAAGATTTTCTTGTTGGTGGTAGAAAATTCGGCGTACTTGATTTATTGACGGTCATAGTATTTTTGGGTAAAGAGCCGTGTCCATTGGACGTTATATCGACTGTAGTGACTAGACTCACTTCTGGTACGTCTTTATCAGTACTCAGATCGGGTAATTTATTTGAATCGGTCAAAGGATCATCGGGTACATCAATAACTAAAGGACCCAGTACATTAGCAGTTGATATACTACTAGTCGTCGTAGTAACAGTTGTGCTCTGTGCATTTGTGTTATAAAGAGTAGCTTGTGGAATATTTTGGGATGCACCTGAAATTAAGAAAATTTTGATTAAACAAAAAATATTTATGTTTTATTCAATCAAATTACTTATATATATTAATTAGCTTTCCGCCGGCAGCTACGCCCGCGTGGAGTTCGGTTTATCACGTTTAAAAGAGAACTTTTCAAAAGTCTGGGATAAAAACTATTCTATGTTCTTTCTCAGGTACCAAATTTCATTAAAATCAGTTCAGTGGTTTAGGCGTGAAAGCGTAACAGACAGATAGACAGAGTTACTTTCGCATTTATAATATTAGTAGGGATATACTGACTTGTCCCAGACACAACGAAGAGTGTTGGCATGGCCATAATTTCGTCTTTAGTGTAATTCAAATTAGCGTTATTTGTGTTTTGTTTATAAGCCGGTGTGCCATTTATTAGAATAGTTTGAAACTGCAGTAATGGCGTCGACGTAGCTGACTTCAATACCGGTGGCATTTTTAAATTATTCTTGAATGTGTTGTCAACTTTTATATCTGATAATATTGTTATTTTCTGATCATCCATCTTTGTATTGCTAGCATTAATTCTCTTATGCATTGTTTTCGCTGTACCAACTGTTAGCAACAACTGTTTTGGTGGACCTTTTATATTTGTTATTGGAGTTATATTCACTTCATTTTCTCTCGGAGCGGTGTATCTGAAAATAGAATAATATTGTGAAGCCCACATATAAATTTCCATTTATAACATATATAATATATATGTATATATTTAAAATTCGTCCTTAGATGTGCATTTATATAACTTACTGTGCGCTAAAATTTTCTGAAGTACTAGAATCAGGTACAATAGATTTCTCCGGATCACTTTGGCCTAAAACAAAAAAATAAACTATTACCAATTTCAATGCTTTTAATTTAATGTTCATACCAATAAATATTATTTAAACACATTTTAACAATGCATATTATTTATATGTGAATGGTGCATAAAGATATGAAAAAGTATAAATATCGTAAGACATTCCTTAATAAAACTTTTGAAGGTGGTAGAGCCTAGCTGTAGTCAAGTTACTACAGCTCGAACATGGGCTAGCTAGACCGGAGAAGTACCACCCTCTCACAGAAAGTAAGTGTCAAAAAGCCTTTAATGGCCGCATTTTGTCTGTTGAGTGAGAGAGCCAGTTGCCCTTTCCTTTTTCCCATCCTTTCCTACCCCTTCCCTTTTCCCTCCCTTTCCCACTTTTTCCTCCATTTCTTCTCTAATCAAAAGAGGCGAATGTCACAGAAACATCTCTTATGTTGTGGAAATCTATGTGCGACGGTACTAGCTCCAACAGGTAGGCCGCCTACTCGGTAGCCCCTTTTAGCATAAAATAAAATAAAAATTAAACTTACAAGTGACTCCTTTAGCAAACTCTTGAAAAGTACTAGCACTGCCAACGGTTTTATTACTAACAATAGTCGCCTCGGGAACCAAGTGAGGTTTCTGATATGATTCATTGTTGCCGCAAACAAAATTTAATATTGTATTAAACTCTTCAATCTTCTGTTTCGATTCATCTACTTTCTGAAAATGTTATATAGCAAATGTTTAAAAACACAGCAACCATATAGTATAAAGAAAATCAATAGCAGATAATAATTTTACAAAGATTACTTAAAATTATTAAAATCAGATACATATTAACTATAATTATTGTCTTTTTCTATACAAAATATATTGTATCCTGCTTTACAATTAATATTTAACTAAAACAGAGATATAAGGGACTGATTTAACCAGAAATTTGTTATATCCCTACTAATATTATAAATGCGAAAGTAACTCTGTCTGTCTGTCTGTTACGCTTTCACGCCTAAACCACTGAACTGATTTTAATGAAATTTGGTATAAATGAAATTTTATCCCAGACTTGAAGGATTCTCTTGGAAACGCGATATAACCGAACTCCACGCGGGCGAAGCTGTGGGCTGAAAGCTAGTATGTATATATATTGAAACATGTTTTACTTACATCAGGAACATTTTGTTTCACATTACACATTATAGGAGTTTCAACAGGTTGACTTTCAACTCTATTTATTAAATGATTTTGAATTAAAACACTTGATTCATTAGTATTATTATAGCTTGGCGGCATCACATCCATCATTTCTTTACTTTGTCTCTTTTTTGAGATAGAATTACCTGAAATGAATCACACACAAAAATATTAGACAAAAACCAGCCTGTGAAATAATTAGCTTCATAAGTTGTTATACTGAAAAAAAAAAGACCAAAATTATTGACAAAATTTATTACATATGGAATTTCCATAGAGTAGTATTTAAAAGGAAAAAATGTTTTCTATTAATATATCTATTACAGATCCTAACTGACTTTAATATAATTTAACTTTAACTGTTTTAAATAATGACGATTATGAATGATATATTCAATGTACTTAATTAACAATATATGACTTACCAGGAAGATCCGCTAAAGAGGTTGTCTCTAAAGAAGTATCAATAGTCATGTCAATTTGACTTGATGGACCCGTGGGTTTAGACTTCTTACAAACACAGGCTCCGATTGTAAAATTACATGTCTCACAAACAGAACATTTTGAGTTTAAACTTGACTTATAACTGAAATATAACAAATTAAATATGTATTAACTGCAGTCAAAAGTGATAACATACATAAACATTTTATTCCATTATCATGAAAGAAAATATGAAAAAGTATGATCAGAATCAATGATTATGAACAAAAATCAATAATAAATAATATTTGTTACCTATTTTTATCAAAAGTAGTATCCTGAGTATGAAGTCTGTTGATGTCAATATAACTCACTAGAAGCTTCACAATTTCTAATAGATTGGTGCATTGGAACAGCTTTCTTCGTAACACAAGGGGCTTGCAAGTCTCAACTGGAATATCAACATGTAAACTACATAACTTATCAAACAAATATATAAAGTTTCTCTTGCACGTTGTTTTAGAATAGCTAAACCAGTAATAAAAACATTAAATCCTCCAATTGAAGGCGCAGGATGAGTTTATTTATAGGCGAAACTATCGTTGTTTACAAGAAATATTTTACCATAAATTTTAACAGCTCTATACTCCGCCAGAATATTCTTTAATGATGTCATAAATATCCTGTCATATTCATTTCTAAATGCATCCAGATACGGACTCGCTTGTAGAAATTCATCATAGGCTGTCATCAACTGCTCTTCAGCAAGGTACCCTGAAAGTCAATGTCGTAGAAATTCAGAAAAACCATCACAGCTAATGAAACCGTTAAATATCGCGTTACAGTTTCGCGCTCCCGCCAAAGAAAAACAACTTACCAAGTACGAGCTTTGCTAGATCTTGGGATGGAAACGGTGGGAAAGCCATTGCTGCTTTATCACAATTTCACCACAATATACAACAAACAAAGTCTTTTAGATCATGTATAAAAGTATATCGTAAAAGCATTTTACAAAACACAAACAATACACTTCCAAATCAAAACCACGCACAACTATGAAGTGACTGTCAAACGAAATTCTCATTAATAAACAGAGTATATAAACCGACTATTAGCTGTTATATTTAAGAAAATATCTTGAAAGGGTTTTAAATGTTAAATTGTCTTTAATAACTTTTCATTGAATTTATATTCGTGAAATAATAGATTTGTTTAAGTTAGGAATCTTCGGGTAAGATAATCGCCAATAACCAAGCACTTGTGCTGTATTTCAAACGTACACATATGAATTTGAATAAACAATACATAAACGTATTAAGAGGAAGCATAATTATTGGATATAGTTTTAGTAAAAAATATTTATAAACTTACTTCAAACTTTGATTAAAAATAGTACCGAAAGGTTGCTTCTGACTTTCGAGATATTTTTAAGCAATTCCTAAGTTTTTTTGAATACTAATATTAGTAACTGTTAATATTCCTACAGTGATTTTGCGAACAATTAACACAATTAGAGCATTGAAGACAATAATAAAAAATCAGCCACTGTTTACCGTTTAATTGATTAAAATCTTTAAAAAACAATAAAAATAGAAAGGTCTTCGAGTATTAAAGCATAATTTTAAAAGAGCTGAGTTTATCCTTTGTAGTGAAAGCAAGTGCACTTTTTGAATTGTTCTTTCTTACGATAACAACAGCATATACTTTTTATTTCTATTTTTTATAGAAATTATAAGTATATGTGCTGCTTATGAACTCTTTACTCAATTAAAAATTCAGATTTAGGTAACCACAAAGGTAAAAGGATATAAATATCAGTCGTACAGTCGTTTTATTATCATAAAAAAAATCATAGCCTATTGGCTATGATTTTTAACAGAGTTTCTCTCTACATTTATCAAGTATGTATCGACACTTTTAACGAAATGTGTATAAGAAAAAGAAATTGTGGACACATTGTATAGAATTTGAATAAAATATCAAAATTTATATATTAAAAAAAAAAACACAAAACGACATAATGCCATTGCGTTAAATCTCGATTGTTAAAAGACATTCCAGTTCGGCAGGTGCCTTTGAAAATAATAATTGGAGGGCATGCGCCCTTTTTATCCCTAAGCAGCGTCTTAGACAATGAAGGATTAAGTAAGCGAGGGGCGTCAAACAAATTCTTTAGAGTTTAGAATTTAGATCCTTTGATCTGCTCTAGGTTTTTAATTACACTTATGTGTGCGATTTTCAGTCATAGCTGTGCTTAGTTTCACGTTTTTGTGACATCAAATGTATGGCATACTATCAGCATCATAAGGGTCCTTGAGTAGCAAATAACGTTTAGTAATGAAGTGAGAGTTCCAATATGGGGACCCGATTTTTTGCTCTTCCTTGGCTAAGTTCATAAATCATCTCCAGATTATTCCGATCCTGTTCTTAGACGTCTTTCTTTAATATAAATACTTACCCTTTGTCAGAGGAATAACCATCTGAAATAAATTACTATTGGTTACAGTAATTGCATATAATGCTCTTGCTGGTGTATTTATCGATCAATTTACACCCTTATCTCTAAATTTAATAGTATAGATACTTGGTAATTAAATTATTGAAATCTTCGGAATGTTACATTTTTGGCTAATTGTTATGAAGTCAAATGAGAAGTCGAAAATCAAATAATTGTTAATTTATAATGAAGTAATAGGTTAATTAAATAAATATGTGAAAAACTTTTTATGTAAAAATTAAAAACCTCGAGTTCCGTGATACATTTAAAAAAGTCGCGCGAAAAGTATTGTATGAAGTGTTTGAATGAGAGGCATGACATATCATTCACCTAACACCTTTCGTTCTTCGTAGTCCGTCGTTCAATTTATAATGGCGGTTATTCTTTTCGTCATCCACTTTGTCATAATTAATATTTGAAGTTTTTGGCGTCATCTGTGTTATTCTTCCCTAACAGTGTTATCAGCTGTGCACTTGTAGTCATATACAATATAAAATACATTTTTCGCTAGACAATATGAGTTCGACAACAACTAATGCTCTGTTTGCTTGCTCTCGTTGTTTTTCAAGACATCCTTTCGAAGAGTTATCTCCTGGTGAACAGCTTTGCAAGGTAATATTATTGCCATTTATCCATTCAGCATCAGCTTACATAATTTTGCACTATGCAATAAACTTTTGCGATGTTAAGTAGTTCTGACGTCAATTGTGACGCTTCAAATTTTTGGATATTTCAGGAATGTCGTGGCTCCTTTCCCGTTGTAAAATGCACGTATTGCCGATCCGAGTTTCAACAAACAAGGTCAGTGTTAATTGGCAATTCATGTGATACCTAAAAGTTATTCATTATAATTAAAACATAACAGTATTATGTTTTCCTTAGTATGTAAACATTTAAACATTCTAATTCACATTATTTGGGTTCACTTCACAACAATGATAAGCTGTATTTATTTTAGCTTTCATTATTACATGTGTTGATGTTAAATTCGCAATTTTCACTTTATTTATATGTTTTCAGTAAATCTAATACTTCTTCAATTTGTAAAAAATGCGAGGCTAACGTGAAAGCTTATGGCAAACCAACGGCATGTGAATATTGCAACATAATAGCTGCTTTCATTGGTAATTATTAACTTTTATATTTGGTGCTTTATATAATATTTTACTTCAAATATATTAATTTATTTAGTTGTGCAATTATATGAGATGTTGAACTGTAAATGTACATTATTCTATCTTTGTAGGTAACAAATGTCAAAGATGTGCAAATTCAGAGCGTAAGTATGGACCTGCAGTGACTTGTGAGCAGTGCAAACAACGCTGTGCATTCGACCGACATGACGATAATAAAAAGGTATTTATAATAATTAGTTAAGAAAAACTTTAAATTAATATACATCTGTCTTAGCTGACAGAGCTATTAAGTTTACCTTTGTTTTTATATAGATGTAAGTCTGTTATGTAATTAGTTAATGGTAGTTTAATAAATAAATCTTCCCATGATCAATGAGATAATGACCTGTTTAATTTTTATGTCAATGTAAAATAATAACATAAAATTCTCTTAATAAGGAATAACTTGACCACAATACTTTAAGGAAAGCAAGTTTACTGACATTGCCCTAGATTCTAGATAAATCACCTTCCTGTTATAACATTTATATTAATCATTGTATATTATATTTTTATAAGGTCAAATTCTTTGTAACCTCTCTTACTGTATATTTAATTCTATTTGTTTCTAAGCAGATTTAAGTATGATTGCTGGTGACAATACTTAATTGTTAATATAAAGATGTATTGTTGATTGTAGATCATAAATTCCTTATAAGATCTATATTTAGTTTGATAAAGGAAATTTATGAATTGATGATGTAGTTTTGTAACTAAAGTTTAGTCATGGGGAATTTGTATCAAGCAACCAGAGCGCTTATGTTATGTATGAGTTGAATAGACATATTTTTTGATGGTTTGAGAATCTTCCTATCATTTTCCAGCATTGTATTAAGTAATTGCTTATAAGTCTTCATATATTATCCAATATCACTGGCTCTGTCCAATTTATGTTTGACTTGAGAATCTCTATTTTGAGCAGAAAGAACATTCGGACTTATTTACTGTTTGGTATTAGTTATACTTGATTGTTAAATATGTAATTGGATTTCAAATATAATGTAGGACGTAGGCAGATAATTTTACTATATTAGGTTTGGTCATTCAGTCTTGTTACTTAGCACAATACATATAATATGAATTCAACATAATTTTATTGGATACAACAGATACATCAAAAACATTTTATTGAGGTTTGGAAACAAGTCATACTTTTTCTATCTATCTCCATAAGTTATAGTGAATATTCTTTTTTTCGGTCGATCCTTTCGCTAGGATAAAAATATGTCAATGATAGGTTTAGGTATCATATAATTAATTTCAATAGAATTTAATAATCTTGTAAACAAACGTGATCAGCTGATATTGACAGAGATTCGTTTCTGAACTTAGGGATGTGAGTACTCTTTAAAATACCTTAATGTTAATCATAATATTAAGTACTAGCTTTTGCCGCGACTCCGTCCGCGCGGAATAGTGACTTACGGCAGAATTTTTTTTCTTCCCACATAGTTCCCGTTCTTGTGGGGTTTTCGGAATGGTCGAGTTCTCGTAGAATTTTCAGGATAAAACCTATGTTTTTTTTATTCACAATGAAGTACTCTTAACCAACAACATATTTATTTGTTTATTTGAATAAAGATTAATATTATTATGTTGATACAACTTAAACAAATTATTTCGACCAAATTAGGTACCATAAAAACGGTTTTTGTGAGTTAATCTTAAAAGATAGACATATACTGTCGCGGAGTGTTTTTTAGATCATTAAAAGAGCTATTATTCTTTAATACATATTTTTTGTGTATCTTGAACCGTTTTCACGGCGCACGCAACGGAAGGCTTCAAAGATGAAATAATTTCTCCCGTTTTTTACACATTTACCACTATATCTTTGCTCCTATTGGTCGTAGCGTGATGTTATATAGCCTAAAGCCTTCCTCGATAACTGGACTATCCAACATAAAAAGAATTATTCAATTCGAACCAGTAGTTTCGGAGATTAGCGCTTTCAAACAAACAAACAAACAAACTCTTCAGCTTTATAATATTAGTAGAGATTTATATATAAAAATACTTTAATTTATTCATATCTTGTTAAGCATTTATTAGTGAATTTTTTTAATGAGCTTAGAAATGCAGAACGAGTGGTTACACATAAGAAATTTTACATTCCAAAAGCACTAAAATTGCGCACTTTAATGAGTGGTTGCCAGCACTGTTAAAATTTTATCTCGATGCGTTCAAAATGACTCTCTCAGATTAGAGTAATTTAGTGAGAAGGGGTAAAGGTACCAAAAAACTTTCGACTTCTAAGCATTCATTGATGATGGGATCTAGGGTACTCCTGAATAACGGTCAATACTCGCGTGGTTCGATAAGGTTTTAGAAATAAAGGAGAGCTAGCTAAGAACCAGGAAAGGAACATAGCATACTTTTCATTGCGATCGAAAGAAATAAATAATCAAAAATCTTATTTCCTGCCTTTATGGAGAAACAGAGGTCGCCAGGTCAGCTATAGGTTTTTTATTTTGAAAGTAATGAAGACGAAGTCGCGGGCATAAACTAGTTCATTATATATTTGTCATGTACAACACTCACTTTTCAACCACAATTAGACTTTAGATTTGTTTGTCAAATTTGTCACATTGTCACGATATAGATCGTGTCAATTTGACAAATATAATAAATTTTCGTAATCAAAATATTTTTTTAAATAAACGTATATACACAGTTGATTAGTGATGCAAAGATTGTTAAAAACAGTGGTGGGTTCATTGATATGTAATTATTACTAGGACTGTTGTTCTATTGTACATAAGAACGGAGTAATCGTTTTCAATTGATTTGTTTACAAGATTGTCATATTCTATCGAAATGAACTGAGGACCGTCGGAACAAAATGTAAAATGTTAGATATTTATCGATTTTAGTTCCGATCGCCATCAATGTTTTGCACGATTGTTGTGATTATCGGTTTATGATCAGATTCAGTTATTTCGCAAACAGATTTGGAGTGGATTTATGACTTTTTGACCTGGTTTCATTAATCATACAACAAGATGTGTACGAGAACAACCAATTGGCTTTAAAAGAAAAAGAGTAAAATGTGATTTATCGGTTTTTGTTCCGATGCTCTTCAACTTGTCCAAATACCACATTTGACACCAGTGATGTTAGAAATTTTCTCGATGTCTATCTAATAACACTTTCTCATTTCCTATGTTAATAAATAATAGGTTTTCTTACATAATATAATTCATTTATCAATCAATGAATGTCCCATGTCCACAACATTTATCATACGCCTACAATTTATGAGTAATAAAAAATTAAATCAATGCAATGATATATATTTCCTGTAATGCATTAGTATGTAATTATTAAACACTAGATTAACAATAATTTTGAACAAATTTGATTACCATAAAACGGTTCTAATTAGGTAATCTTAAAAGATATATATATACTGTGAAGAATATTTTTTTAGATATCATTTCAAGAGGAATAATTCTTTCGTATATATTTTTTTGGTATCTCAAACCGTTTTTGCAGATCACGCAACGAAAGCCCGCAAAGATGAATTATTTTCACCGTTTTAGAAACTATTTAATTGTTTCTTCGCTCCTATTAGTCGCAGCATGATGTTATATACCCTAAAACCTCGTTAAATGGTCTATTCAACACAAAAATATTTTTTCAATTCGAACCAGTAGTTCCTCAGATTAGCTATTTAAACCAAACTCTTGATCTATATAATATTAGTATATATTAGAATAAAATCTATATTGACAGATTAAAATCAGAATATATTTCAATAATTTGCAGGTGGACGGAAAACTACTATGTTGGCTTTGTACGCAGTCCCTCAAGAGAGCCCTGGCAAGAACTAAACAACATCTAGCTGTTGACAAACACAAGCATCGCTCGCACAAGTCCGTTGACATAAGTTTATTGAAATTATGTAACCCTCTATACTATAATATGCATAAGTCATATAAAGATACTCTAATATAATTAATTATTTGAGTTTTTTTAGTATCATAACTAAGAAAAAAGGTTAAAAAAATTATATTTGTATTACTTCAGCTCTTGTGCTGAAAATTAATTGATATCTTCAATTAATTATGTATTTAAAAAAACAACTAAAAGTTAGTTTTGCTTCATACATATATTTTAACTTTCTATATAAACTTAATACTATTATAATTTCCTGTTGGATCATTGCTTGCATATATCAAGAATGTAAAGAAATCACACAAACAGGTTGAAAAGCAGTCACAAGGACAAACGCAAGTCGGATATGTTGAAAGGAATCAACGATGAGCCTTTGGAGAAGAAATCCAAATTACATCCATTACAAGGTTACTGGTCTAAATATAACTTTGGCAGTCCTTTATGACTACTAAAAACAAAAAAAAAATAATTTTTTAATGTACAGTACACAATAATACTTTTTATTTTAACACACATTTAATTTAAGATTTTTTTTTTGCTTCCACACAATTTAAGTTGTTCTTAATACCCTATGATTTCAGTATGTTTGCATATATTATTTTATATTCCATAAACAATTACTTTTTTCTTTATTTAACAAAATTTATGTGGTTTATAAATAAAATATGCAAATGGTCCTTGTAATTATAAAAAGAATAAACTTTTTTAACACAACAGGTGAGTTAGACCCGAATTCATCGGACCATGTGGTGGCTATGACTCAACTCAAGGAAACGATTGCCAGCTTACAGAAGAAAGTACAGATGAAAGACAATGAGTTACTACACAAGGACAAACTGGTTAGTTTTATTAATACTAGAAAATCACATTTACTTTATAAAGAAATTATTAAAAATTTTCTGAATGGATTTTAATGGAACTTTGCAGTGATGTAGCTTAGACATCAGAATGTCATAGAGCTTGTAATTTATCCAAAAATCCTGTCCACTTATTTAAAGATCTCGGAATTACAATAAAGTTGTATGAAGTTACTTGTCAGATAAAAGATGGCGCTGCTAGTAACTAATAACTAAATAAATTTTATATACATTATACATAATTATAAATTATTAATTTGTTTCTAAACCCACGTCTGAAGTCATATATCAAGCAGACAAAATCGGGCCATAAATAATATTAATGAATAAAAAATTAAATTTAATTATTAATCATGATTACAGATAACAGAATTGAAGGCGCAGCATCACAACGATACAACAGATCTTCGCAACGAGATGAAAAACAAGGATCGTTTGAACGAAACTAAGTTCAATTTAATGAATACTAAGATACAGAATCTTTTGAAGGAAGTAGCTACGTTGAGTAAATCAGCTAGAAAAAACAATAAGAATACTAAAGTAGTACTCGCTAGCGAAAACAGCGGCAGTGGTACAGATAGCCCAAGTACTAATTAGAACAATATATACATATAGTTCAATGGAAATAATAATTTTCCTTTTATTTTTCTATTCTACAAATGGTTTCATTTGTAGACATATTTAAATCTAAGCATAAGTAGGTTCCATTATCTTTTTTTCTATCTGTATACTTATTTTATAATCTAACTTATTGAAAGCCTGTTATCTTGGTATGTGTTTTGTGACTAAAACTAACAGTTGCATGTGAGTCAAATAATAAATTGTATTGTTTATTAAATACAAATATTTTTTTAAACCGACACAAAACTCATATTAAGATAAATAAGGTGTAATTTAATCGAAATCAGATGTTTTATTTTTGTATTTTTGCTTTATATTGTAATTAAAATTTCGTTCAGAAAATTTTAATAATGTGTACCTCAAGTTTAGTTTTTATTTAAAATTTTATTTCATGACTTTTCTATGTAACAGTACCAAAATTAGATATACAATTTTTCATATCATTGTGTGAAGTAGGTGTTATAGATGTATTTGTTTAGTTTGTCTAAATGTTGAACATAGAAAATTTAGATAGAGACAACATAACACTTACATTTCTAAGGTAATAGTAATTTTTATATAGAAGTTTCTAGAAAGAAATTATAACGATCAAGGCAAAACAAGATTGAAACAAAAATGATCTTATTATGTAAGTAGTAACTTTTTTTGTTTAGTATTAAGTTGAAATGTGATTACAGGACATTATTCTTTTGATATTTAAATAATTTTAATAATAATTGAAATCAATAAAAATCCAGATTGTTCAAGAATGATAGAAATATGAGAAATATATTATAAAAGTTTGTAAAAATTTCTGTAATTCTAATAAATAGCATCAAAAATGTAAATATTCTCTTTACAAACATTTTGGATTTTAATAATACATAACATGACTATCAGGAAAAGAAACTTTATTTTTAGTTTTTCTATTATTTCTTAAATAATTTTCAATGAATCAAAAATATATATGTTTTCTGTGAAGTCTTTAATGAATAACTTTAGAGTTGACAATTATTTGTAACTCAACCGACGGAATGTGTGATAAATGAAATACAAATGTATGTTCAAAATAAATAGCTATTCTAATATATGAGACGGTTACTGTCTAAGATAATCAATTGTAAAATCAATGCAATAAATGATGGAAATAACATGTTTTATTCATTTATTCCCTACATTAGTAAATAAAAACCAATTAAATAGTAAATACATATGTAACATAGTATTATATTTTGAACCTGCCTATCAGGTTATACCTGGACTTATAGTTTCACAATTATAAGTTTGAAATCACCAACCCGTCTTGAGCAAGTGTGGTGATTAATGTTCAAACCTTCTCCATGTGAGAAAGAGGCCTTGCTCAGCAGTGGGCTTCTGATAGGCTGATAGGCATGTTTTGAACATTATAGTTTAATTAGGAAAGTGACAGACGCTCAATTTTGAACGGGGCAGGCTTGATATGAAGCTGTTGACGAATTTCTTGAAGTGTAACTTATGCGACTTCTAATAAAGTTGCGTTAAACGTTTAACGCTTGGGGGCGGGTTAGAAAGAGATAGCGAGAGGGGGGGTGCAGAGAAAGAGGGGGAATGCGTAGTGCTTGAACGGATGCGGGCAATCAATTGTGATTCGTAAGTAATGTTACTAAAAATTCCATAAAAATCAATTTCTTCCCATTCCAGTTTTCATTCCAACATTACGAAGTTTCACTTCTCTGGAGCGACTTCACGAACAATATTTGTTTTCTTATATTTTTTATTAATAAACGAAATACATAAATATTAATATAGATACTTAGTTCTAAAAGTTATTTTCTAATCATCACATAATTACGTCGTTAACATTATATTCACATGTCACAAATACCGTTAACTTGGACAGCTGAAGAAAAGCCGATTGATTCTAAATGCCGATGCACAACTACGTAAATAACAAGATAAGGTGTTGCAAAACATGTTTGAACTGAAACATAAATACAATTTAACACGCTGTCCATTCGCCTTAACCTGTCAATCATAATCATGTAACCATTATTGTAACTCTAGATGTCCTTTATGAGTTTTGGACGTCATTTTCCGTCGAACATGTCAATGATAAGAATATAACTAAATAATACATTGTAAATATCTAAGTGAGTAACGTTTTCCAGAAACGTTGCAGCTCTGAACATCCAACATTTATCACATTTGGCTTGAAACAATAAATTACGTAACAAAAATTGAGAAGTAGGTACTAGGTTTCTAATACATGAAAAGATGTTGTAGTGATAGAATACAGAGTGTCTTAGTTTAAAAATAATATTCTTTTAATAACATATAAAATTAAGAACGATTTTAATACATGTCATAAACAATAAAAATGTGCTCTCATTATTAATACACATGGCGTTATGAGTTGTAACTTTAAAAATATTATATTTAACTTATTAAAAATAAAGCCATAAATAAATTTATCAATTGATACACCTGTAAGAACTTAGAAACATGGAACGATTAAATGTATGAGTAATTTTCTCACTTAATCTCCAAGAAAACAGATTAAAAAATCTTAAGTTATTGCAGATTAATTGTTGTAGTTTAAATTTTACCACAAAACTGTAAGGAAGTAAAATTTATTATCATCAGTTTGTCCGTTTTCTGGTTGTATTGTTAAATTAAACTTGGGATAGACGGAAAAAATCTTAGAAAAACATATGAATTGGATTGATAATTATATACAAAAAAGTTTTACTGTTAACGAGCCTCTTATTATATTAATTAAACATCCAATGTCATTAGGTTGGCGAAGACTATAGTAATTATTATATATAAGTATTAATAAGTAGTAGAAATTATCAGTTTAAATTGGAAAACTAAAGATAGAATTTTTAGGCGTAGTAGATATATAAATATTGAGGAGTAAATAAACATTAACTACGAGTAAATGAACAGCTAGGTATTATAGTTATACACTATAGTTTTGGGAACAGGAAGATTTGATTATAGAGTCTGATTAGAAGATTTTTGTTTGCAAAAATAAAGTAAGATCATCTTTTTCTTTGCTTTCAGTTGTTATTTGAGTTAGATTAACGATGACAAAGCTTGTTTAAATATGCTTTACTTCACAGACGAGTTCTTGAGTGATGTATTTTTTAAACATTTTTATCTTGCAGTGAAATGGAGTTCGATAAACATTAAATAAAGTTTGGAATTGTAAGACTGTTAGCCTTTAAGGCATAAAATTACAGTATGTATACAACATTCTAGACATTGTTTTAGTTGGAGGCGGCAAAATTTTATTATATTTTAGACGTTCTAAAGTAGGTAAGCAATTACACCTACGTCTTTAAAGAAATAAAAAATAGTTGGATCATTAAGACTATTTTAATTTTATTTTTTTTATTAATAGATGGTTGTTTTTCAGTAAATAAATAAATGACATTCGAAATACTTCCTATAAAGTGCCCACTTCATAGTTAACTCGAATAATTGTAAAATCTAAACTAGGCAGTTAATAAAATTGACAGTTTAACAAGTGGCCTACAACATACAAATATACGAAGAATATATACCTACTTTAGTAATATCTTTACGTTGTTCTTAACTTTATATAACTGATGAGTATAAATTGTAGTGTATTTAAAGTATTTCTGATCGCGCGTTACAGTCAGTACTCCCTTATAATGTTCATTAATGTGTTTTGTCTGTTTTTCTTGCTTAATTATGTTCAGCCGAAGGGTATGTTGATTTTTATGTTTTATTTTTGAGATTATATAATTTAAAAACATGAATAAAGTTCTTAATTAAAATATATTTTTTTGATTTTTCGTAATTAGTTTTGGAGTTATCGTGCAAGGATATCCGAACCTTTGTAAATGGCCACAACAATCGTCGTCTTATGATAGCTCGTGGTAACCTGACAGATCAACCAGCAGCTTCTCAAATGAACTCAGTGGTAAATTTTTATTACATTAAAATTTATTTTTATTCTACTTTAAACAGAATTCTATACATTTTTTATCCGTATCAGCTTCTAAAAACATTGGTTGGGAACATTATCGTATAAAACAATTAAAAATAATTCAGTGATATTCCAGAATATTACCGTATACAAATAACTATATTTACTTATATGATATTTTATTAACATTCCTGTTTCCAACACATTTATATGTATATATTGTATAAAATAAGAAATAGCCAACATATAGTATACTTCTAAGATTATTTTAATAGTTAATTTTTAAATTTAATAATTCAAAAATATTTTCTTATGGAACATGAATCATTTACACAGATAAGATGTGAATGGAAAGTTTAAATATCTTAAACGATTATAACAATATAATTACACGATTAATATTACAGCGAATACTGCAATATGTACATAGTGGTTCATTTTAACGTGCCAAGATAAAATTCTTTTATTTATATTAGCTTCAGTTGTGACCAAAGCCTTTGAGCACGATATTGCTCTACTTCTCGCAACTTAAGTATCTACATATAGAAATAAAGTAAAAATCTTTAGTTTACTCTAAAGCTTTCTTAATATAATTTAAATATTTCTTATTTCGTGATATATCGCTTTTCAGGTTTGGGATAATGAACTCGCGGCCAAGGCTAGGAAATGGGCGGGGAAGTACAAGTTCTCTCACAATCCTGATAGGACTGTAGGTAGGCATTGAAAAGATTTAATTCTTCTATAACGTTGTAGCTGAAATCTTATAGATTCGGGAATATGAATAATGAATCGCACCAGATGAATACTTCTACTTCTTATAGAAAGTCCATCTTGAGTAACTAAACATTATTCTTTCAATAACATTCTTAGTATTACGACCTATTTATATCTTTGGCATTTTATTTCCTTGCATATTTTCTTTTATTAGTTGCCGTCATGTAAACTAAGCTTATCATTAATATCGCATTACATTAAGAAACAAAAAAAAAATCCTAAAACGCATTTTAATTTACAAATCCAACAAAAGTCAAAACAAATGATATTTTTATTTGTCTTATAAACAAAAAATGGCGGTAATTTACTTTTTGCAGATATTCTTCAGTTTCCCGGATTGGTTGTGTATTTATAATATGAATATTTCCAGCCTCGGGCCGTTTTGGAACAGGCGAAAATATTTACAAAGTGAGCTCAACGAATCCGAATTTTCAAATTAAGCTGGACGACGCTCTCGAGGCTTGGTTTGGGGAACACAAGGACTATGAATACGGGCCACTTTCAAAAGATGACTTCGACTCTTCACGGCCGGCGGTAGGACATTACACACAGGTAAAAATATCGTTGCTCCCCTTCTTAAATGTCAATTTAAATAAGACGCCATTTTATGCTTAAGTGATGCTTAGTAAAAAGTTAAAATGAATCGGTATGAAATAAAACCGAATGAAATGATATGCAAAAACGGTGTTGGAATCACTACCTCCAAGTAAAATATTGATAAGTTACTTGCCAAAATAAGTCATGGCATTACTTTGAAATGTTAAGGTTTTCTGTAATTTTAAAACTGTGAGGAAAGAGATATCCTAAGTGATTAATATTTATAGTATGTATAGTAAAAATTTTTCTACACTGTTTACCTAATTGTGTCAAGCCATGGAGGTTTGCAATTTCATACTCTTGTACAAATTTTTTTATTAAAACAGGCTACTCGTATGTTACCACAACATTATTTTCCCAATGCAACATTAATTATAATAAATACATAAAAAAATATTATCTTGGTATTCTGTTTTGAAATAAAATATATTTATGGTTATATTTTAATATTTAAAAATATTGTTCTTAAACAGTATGTTAGTTGGCAAATGTTTTGATTTCAACAAATAACTGGCAACGGGAACAAAAAATGTAATGGACATTTAATGATTTATGTTTAAGATATTTTTACACGGAAAAATTCAAATTGTCAACAAAAACACTTAATAATTCTCCCGCCGATAATAATAAGTACGCATAAGTCGACAACAGTTTTGTTAGAATTTCTAAAATTTTGTGAAAGTTGAACAAAACATAAAAAAAAATATTTAAAAAGTTGGAAAATAATACACTTTTGCCTTTTTATCTCTATGTATAGACTATATAGGCTTTAGAAAAGAATTACCTACTATATTATAAGTACTGCATCCTTATGTACCTATATTAGAATCTACACTTATATAAAGAATCTAGATCATTATACTGCAGATATATTTTTTTAATTCACTTTAATAAATGCTTTAAAATTATAATTTAAAGAACAGTGTCCTTACCTCAAGTTTGCGTAATCACTTTAAATACAGAGCTTTAATACATTATAATTCCTAAAACTTTGCACATATTTCCTAGTATTTATAAGGATTTACATATACAGGGTGACTGGTGAATTACTATCAATATTTAAGGAGAATACTCAGTACATGATTCTCATTCGAATTATGTAAAAAAAATAGGTACTTAATTTTTGACCAAATTTCCGTATAAATAAATAAACGTTCCAAGTGTTCCAAGAGTGGGTGCGTGTGGCGGCGTGCTGATACAACACTACGCCGCCACACGTGTGTGTGCTTGTGTGTATACCTAATCTGTAGGGTGTTCACACGATGCGTAATTAATTACATAACTTTTGGTTAACTTTATTTAGAAGTTTATTAATATTTATGTTATATTAATTTTTATTTTGTCATATATGATCGTCAAATATCACGTCCTCAAGTATCGATAGTAATTCACCAGTCACCCTGTATATTACTGACCATAACATTTTGTCCCACGTTTTTGTCCATCCAAAAAGAGTTAAACGCTTTACTTTTCATTTCAAAAATATGTTTATTTTAGATGGTGTGGTCTGATTCTGTATACATCGGATGCGGAGTGTCTCAGAGAACAAATAATGGAAAAGAATACTATGTCGTCTGCAACTATGGACCAAGGTTCGTTAATATATAAAAGCATTTTATATGAATTAGGTATGTTCTATTTAGGTAAAGACCTAAATTGGAATCGTTAGCAAAGGCAATGAAAGCAAAGCAAAACAAAGTCTTAACCTCTATTCAACAATCTTTTTATGAATTTACTAAAGATCCAAATTTAAAGCTGTTTTTTTATTATTTCGTTGTGTTGTATTTATTTTTTAACATAAGAATTTACTCATCTTCTTAAGATGTAAATTAGATTTCTTATATTTTAATTATTTTTTTCAGTGGCAACTATTTGGGTCAGAGACCGTATAAGTCTGGTAATGCCAGTAACGTTTTGAAGTGTTCAGATAATTGCAGCAAGCCTTATGGCAATAAGTGTTAATGAAAAAGAAATTATAGTCCACTCATGTTAAATATATCCAAGAAAACATTATATTTTAGAGGTTTAAATGTATTTAAAAAGTATTTTATATTGCTTATTACATAATTGTTATATAAACTATACTATATGATTAATAAATTATATGTAGAGGATTATTTCTTTTGTTTTTTATTAAGGAGTCAAACACATATAAATGGCAATCCTCAAAACATTTACTTCGAAGTATTTCTTATTCTAGTTGACTTATACTTATTTATCCTCTTCATAATTGATACTTATATTCAGATCAAACCTGTTAATAAACAGAAATTATATTTAAAATAAAATTTAAATACAATTACTTTACACTTTTCTAGTTTTTAACTTGCAGCATTTTCGTTCAGAAGCGCTATACCTGGCTTGTGTGGTAACAAGAAAGATAATATTTAACATTTTCAAAATGATTTCAAAAATAACCATTCGTAAGAGACATACAAAAGTAGATATTTATAAGACAGAATCTGCGTTAACACTTATAAGTTATAAGTATATAAACAACTTAGTAAGTTATAGTATTCATTCAGAATCCTTAACACGTGTTTGAAAAGTCACACCACATACGAAGCATTTCTCGTTTCTTATTGTATGTATAAGTTACAACCTACGTTAACATTGTATAGTGTTGAGATTAATGGATGAAAAAAATTACACCTAGTGAAACAATGCAAACTTGTATTAAGCATAGAGAAATTTGGGGATTTAACAACTTAATAAATCATTCTTGGAACGTACTTCGAAGGCAGCCCTAGTGGGTTCTTTAAAAATTAAATCGGTAGAGAGAGGGGCTTGGACAGCGGAAGTGAGCCGTTAGCGTTTAACGCGCGTTAGATAGCGGCCTCTTAAACCTACACCTGGGCCGCAAGTCCCAGGCACTGTTGAGGCTCCTCTCTCTGCAACGCAATGAACCCGGCACCCGCACGGTGAATCCATTGAATGCTAAGAGGCTTCGTTTCATAGACAAATAGGCATACTAAGATGTTTACTTATTAAAATATGTAGATAATAATACGAGGACAAGTTATCTATAGATATAAATACATTACATAGATTAGATTGTTTTCACGTTTTGAAACATTAAAAATATAAAATCTACTTTTATCTAAGACTTTTTGTGGGCTAAAAAGATATAAGCATTAATTTTTAATTTGAAAATAGGTGTTCTGCTTTTTATCAAAAATCAAAAGTAAATAACAATCCTAGTAATAAAGTCGTTAAATCCTAAAATATATTTAAAATTTTAAATTCTAATCGGCTCAACCATTTTCAAATATGTATACCTTTAATCTTTTTCCACAAACAAACATCGAAACAGTATTTGATATTGATATTATAGTACATTTTGATTACTCTTTATCTGTTTGTTATAAAATATTTACAGATTATTTTCATTTATCTTAAACTATTTGATAAATTGATTGAAAATCAATTTTTAACGTAATTAGATTTTGGCGAGGGAAGGCTACATTTTCTTAGAATCATAATGGTTTGTTTCGTTTATAAATTAATAATTAAAATGTTTGCTAAGTATTTATTACTATGTAAGCTTTCGGTAAATTTAGGTCTTAAAGTGTCAAACTCACTTATTCATTCTATATTTTACTTGTATGAATGAGCGGATACAGTCACTAAATTGTGAAGAACCGAAGAATCCCTGGACTTGTAAAGTTAATGAGTTTTACAGCACTCGAACAGACGGCCCCTGCACATCGAACAACTGATCATTTAATGGTAACTATGCAACAAGGACAAAGACTCTGCAATTCCCTCAAATTATTATATCTGCAGCTGAACTTATTGAATAGAAGAACTATATCATCAGTAGAAGAATGTGTAACAAGTTATGTACCCTCTGTAAAAGGCTCTAATATACAAGACCGCATACATACACATTACGAAAGTAAAAATATAACCATACCATGAACTTATGGATTACGAAGAAGTCTTGTTAACAGTTACCATCAATAAACTCATCCATTCCAGAAGGAGACTATTGCTATATGTAAACCTTTAGATGTCTTTATCAAGAAAGTTCGTCCAAGTACAAGATGTAACCTGAAAGAGCGTATGGGCTTCAAATTTCTGTTGCCAAGTCACCACACATACGAATACTTTATTGTGGCCATATATCTGAAAGATTTACTTAAAAGCCTACGTTTTTTCAATGGACCTTGAAATGCATAACGCTAAATGTCTTTTTGGAACATAAGATTAAAAACAAAATTGTTCGCAGGTGAAATAAATTCATTTTTCACAATTCACTATTAAATAAGAATAAGCAGCATCAAGCAAAGGTGGTACTGTTGGGATTATAAATATACTGACGGAAGATGTTGGGAACAGGTTATCATGCGAAAGAGTATAGACCAAGTTTAGGAAACCAAAAACCAAGAAAGGTTTTGAGATAAGAAGAAAAACTAAATGTGAGGGGTATAAAGTAGGATTAGTTGTGGATTTATTGGGAAGCAAAACATACTTTAGTTTATGGATGTTCCTGGCTTACGTCGTTTTAATTTTAAATAGTGATTAAAGTATTTTAGTTTATAATTACCTTTAACATTCCGGCAATTTCATCGATTAATATCTTTAAAGTACATAACTAAGTGTCCCAAAGTTAAGAAACTTAAAAGATATAATTTTTGTGTCTTTTTTTCTAGAAATTGCTGTGTATATTGTTGGCCGTATCGAAATTAACATGGGGGGAATCGGACATTTTGGAACCTCCCCTAAGAGTGGACTTGAAGCCACCGGTAGAGTATAATCGGTTTGAAAGAAGAGTGCAAACCTCTTGGATCGATATGCCCATTGACCACTTCGATCCTCAAAATCGTGAAACATATCGAATGGTTAGTATGAACTTTAATTTTATAAATACTCGTATAATTCCAATACATAACAGGTCTCTTCTGTTTTATTCCGTTACTAATTAACGTTTAGCTGACAAAGTACTATTAAGCTGAAAGGGATGTTTGTTTGTATAATGAAACATTGTTATTTCAATAATTACTGGTATGATTTGTAAAAATACTTTCATATAGGTTACCCATAATGTGTAGTAAATCTAGAACTAGCTATATAGGAATAATGTTTCCTTTTCAAACCTGTCTTGTAGTGAGTGAAGAGTAAAAGATTAGCAAAACATAATAATAACTTTCTAAAATTAAAGTATTTTGATATAATCTTTTAAACCTCCACTCTTACTGACAGCTTGAGGTATTTAGGCAAACGTAATCAGTTAGACTAAGATCTAAAGTACGTAAGATATATTCTTATACAATAAGTATTATTGAAAACTTGTCTTTTATTAGTTTTTCAAATTTCAAGTGAAATAATCAGAAAAATAAATACCTAATACTAAAATTATTAAGTATAGAATAATTTTATTGTAAGAAAATTGTAATTATCAGACGTGTCGATACTTAGGTCTTACTAGTAATATTGAACAATATAATTTGAGTTTCCATTCCAGCGATTTATGTTCAATGAGGAATTTTTTGGTGGTAATGATTACCCTATTTTTATTATGGTTGGCGGTGAATGGACCATTCAACCCGGATGGTTGCTAGGAGGGAATATGTACTTAATGGCTCAAGAAAATAAAGGATATCTTTTTTATACAGAACATAGATATTATGGGGAAAGTTTGCCTTACAGGTATGATTTTTTTCTAACTTAAATTTAAAGTATCCTATTATCTCTTATTTGTATATATTATGTTGCCCAATTCTGTATGTTAGATCTAAAATTTAAAACCGTTTCAGAACTTTTACTACCGAAAATCTACGTTTCTTAAATGTCGATCAGGCACTTGCAGATCTTGCATATTTCATATCGGAAATTAGGAAATTGCCGAGATTTTTTAACAGCAAGGTGGTGTTATACGGAGGTTCATACGCAGCCAATATGGCATTGTGGTTCAAACAAAGATACCCGCATTTGGTAGTGGGTGTTGTTGCTTCAAGTGGACCTATAAAAGCCCAAGTTGATTTTCCGGGTAATAATACTAAATTTGATAAAAATATCTGATCACTTTTGCTGAAAAGTGTAGTTTTTTCTCAAAAATAAACCGTATGGTATATTCGAAAAATATTAGTTTCATTTAAACAGATAACTTTCAGTTCGTAACAAAGTTGTAATTAATTACAGAATATTTGGAGGTAGTACACAAGGCATTTCTATCAGAGGGGGGACAAGAATGCGTAGACACTATTAAACAAGGAATTGCTGACACTATAGCTGCAATGGAAACAGAAGACGGAAGAAGATCTATACAGAGAATATACAGGTACCTATTAATATAACAGCTTATTTTTACTCCTTGATAGATATAGACATTGGTCTTATTGAGAAGAAATTGAATGATTTATAAATTTTCAATACTTTAATTACAGGCTATGTACTCCCTTAGACTATAGTTCACGTCTATCGATGGGTTATTTCTCCGGCTACATAGCTTGGACCTTTTCTGGTTCTGTACAGAATGCGAGGCCTGGTTCAGTTACAGCTATATGTCAGAACTTCGCTAATAACGTCTACGGTAAACAAACTTATAAACAATTATGACGCAAAGATTGCTTAATTCAGCAAAGAATATAATATTTTGCCTATATTAAGGCTGGAACACACAAAATTTTTTTTTATTAAAATTTTAGGTACCACGCCGATGGAGAAAATTGGGGGCTACATTGCAGACGCCCGGTCAATTTCAAATTGTTTGAATGTTAACTACGACAATTACATAGCCACGTATAATAGGACTGTCCCTTCGAATGGTAAATTAAATAGTTCAAGAACTTTTAAAGTAATTGATACCAAAATGGACACTTTAAGAATTTATAACAGATGAATGAATTTTATTAACCACATTTTTAAGCCTAATCTGTAAATGATTATAAACGTTGCTGCAGGAATAAAATTTTACTATATAATTTTGTTTCTGCAGTTCCATATTGTTGATATATATGGCTGCCTTGTCTTAGGAATGTAATAAATTTCCAATATTTTCCCTCAATGTTCAATAGGCAGAGCATGGTACTATCAGACATGTACGGAATATGGCTACTATCAAACAGCACCAAAATCTGGTACCGCCTTCGACCAACTAACCTGGCTCGATTTGCCCTTCTATCTTGAGATGTGCAAGAAAGTATTCAGTGAAAAGTAAGTAAAGTATAGGTATCTAAACACAAATTGGATTTGTCTATGTGTTTCTAATTCTAAATTGTTTATAAGGCGACATTGTATAAATATTAGGTGAGAACGAAAATCAGTAAAATATTTACTTATTTTGATACACAAACCAATTTTAGAAGTTAATTCATTGCAGAATAATATTTTTTTATGACAAAACACCAGTTTAGTGCAGTTAAGGAATATCCATTATGAAATTCAAATTTCAATGATGTTATTATTTCTAGATTTACCGAGTCGTTTGTTATGAACGCGATGGATAGAGTGAATCTTATGTTCGGTGGATTGTATCCAAATGTAAATAACACGATCAATATCCACGGTGCTATCGATCCGTGGCACGCGCTTGGAGTTTACGACCGGGATCTTAAGGAAACATCGCCAACCATACTTGTACCCAGGTATATTACGTTACAAAAATATAGGTACACTTTAGCGGTACACTTACTGACAGTTTACAAGCAAAAAGGTTTTATTAGATATTAGGTTATTAAAAATTAGAAGTAGATATTATATATTCAAATAAATTAATAAAAAATATGATGTCTTACAGACTTAAAATAAAAGTGGAGTTTTTATATATTTTCGATTTACCTATTAAGTACAGAATTATTTAATGGATTTAGTCATAGATTTTAATTTTCATAATCAACGAAACCAAGATCTTTACATAAATATCTATTTTTTTGTTTGAGCCGCGACTTATTTCTCGCCTATATTAATATTTATAATATGTATACATAATTATATATACCTACTCCTGAAAATTTACATTTCAAAATGTATGTTTCTACGTACCTCTTTAATCTTTCGCATGTTTTTATATATTAAGTCGATCGAGACAAGACATGGTTGTATGTTAAGGGACAGCCTTTTTGAGAAACAGACGAAAGGATATATTTAGATCATAGAAGATAAGTTTTATCGGTTTACAGGCTTCAGAGTTCAGTCTGCTAATAGTCAATTGTTACAGGTTGTGCCCTCTGTGCCATACTAATTATAATCTACAATAATCTTTACGACTTTTATGACTGATTATAATTAATTATAGTACTGAACCATTGTAATGGCATAAGTAATTTGAGTATCAAATTGTATTTGATAAGTGAATAAAAAATCTACAGCCATTTTGTAAGTCATTACTGGAAGTAACGCTGAACATTGAAAAACAAATCTGATAATTGGTTCCTAAAACTCCACTGGATTATTAACTAATTAATTATAAAGTGCAAGGTATCCCATTTTAAAAAGATTTTGCTAAGTAGGTATTATATTTTTTCAGAGCATCCCACTGTTTCGATATGTCAAATTGGAGAGCTACAGACACTATAAGAATGACAGATGCACAACAGAGAGCTAGGAGGATCGTTGCACAGTGGCTGTCATGAAGAACATAAAAACAAATAGTGATAAAATTGTTGAATAGTAAAAAATCATTTAAATATATCATAGGTATGTTTATTCAATGTAATTTCCTTTTTTTAACAATTTTTAAGGAGTCAAGTAGTTTCAATAATTAATAAAACTTCTCTTTCTCAATCTGATAAACAATGAATCCTTTAGAGCTGGTCCAGAAAGGGCGAATCGTTTCGCGCGAACTCATTGAGATACAAGGCACCAATACATCGCGCGAATTCAAAATACGCGCGTAATTCCTTCCTCCTCCTTTCTAATTAGGTATCAATGTTAAAAACAAAATTTTTATTTTGAAAAAAGTAGGTAGGTAGGTAAATTAAACTACTACAGTCAACACAAATCACATTTTTGTAATGGGAAAGGGCGGTTTCAGACTAGCGTTTTATACGCGCGTATGAGCTGGTTTTTGGAAGTGCATGTAGGCGCGTATAGGCGCGCCTTTTGGCACACGCTCAACTCGTACGAGCGTTGACGCGCTTCTAAGCTCGTATAAGCGCGAGCCAAAAGTAATTTTTAAATCGTTTAGAATCACTTCGCAGTTCTGGGTAAAGTGTATTAAAGTGACCGGTTGTCAGTCTTGATGCAACTATCGGTGACACCCAGCACTTTTTTCCGTCGTCTCAGTCGACGGCGAATAAGTAACGCAAAAAGTAATGTTTCTTCGTCAGAATCCATGTTGAATGTTAATACTGACACGATACCACCGGTTCGAGCGAACACGCCGAAATATGCGCGTTTACGCGCGTCCGGTTTTTTGAAGCGCGTAATGTAGCGCGCGTGTAAGCGCGTATACTGAAACGACCGTATACGCGCTGAAAAAAACGCTAGTCTGAAATCGCCCATAGGGGTTGGTCTACCCAAAATGGTTCGCATTTGTACACATCACTGCGTATGTTAGATTATATCTTTCTGAATAGGTAAGCTTATCACTAGCGTTGAGTCAAGTGACTCTTAAGTAAAATAAAACTTATAAATCAGTAATAAGTCCTGGGTTTAATACCCAGATATTTATAAGTAGCAGGTACTAAAGATAGGTAGTAATTAATATTATTCTGTACTTAGCAAGTATACTTCTTTTAATTAAATGTGAACAATGACAACCAAGATTTGATTATTTAGTTAAGTTATTTATTTTATAGATTGCTTATGTACTGAATAAAAAATATAAGTATCTAATATTAAAAGAAGCTACAAGCTTTGTGAAAGTTGCGAGTAAATCTCCGCAGCAGATAGATAAGTTTACAAAAATTTGTAAATTTTCAAAACTATGAGGATAATAAATAAAAGAAACATTTCCCGCTAGTGCAGGGAAAACACAATTTAATATTAGTTTAAAACTCCACATTCAGACAATTCGAAAATACACGGAAGTTAAAGAATTACAAACTTCAACAGGTCAAAAAATATAATTACAAACGAGCTCTACACACTCCGTATCGTGAGACAGGGAGTTTATAAATTTCATCAATGTAGATATAGGACTACACATATCACTGGAGTAGTAACCGGTCAGATTAAATGCAAAGTGCACTACTGCCGCGGACCAGTCGGTGTGTTTTCAAAATGGCTCTTTTCCACGCAGATTCCTTTTCGGAAACACAACACAAATTAATGTACGCTAGAGGCTGTGGATCGTCTAAGATTTCATTAATAATATGGCAATCACATCGACACTTAAAATATAATAAGCTTAATAAAACAATGCCTCCGCGTAACACATTTGCAGCGAGCGAGGGGGCGTGGCCTGTGAAGTATCACGCGCCTAACAACCTCTCGCTACACTGTGACCAGCCGAGGAAGTAGTCTACTCTACTGGATTCATAGCACTAACGATATCACAAGCTTAATCATAATGAAATACATTCGAGATTATTGGCAGTCCACTGTTTAAAATGCCTTTTGTCGATAAAAAAAAATTGACAAATAAAAAAATATTCAGCATATCATAATATCCTAACAAAACTACAGGATGTATGTTGACTCGATACAAAAAGGAACTGCCATTTTAACTCGAACTAACTCAAATTCATAAATGACGTCACCCGTTACTCCTATCAAACTAATGATACTTAACAATTAACCGAATCGCAAACGAACAATGTTCAACACTGATAGTATTTGCGAGGCGGGTGTTTAACAAAATGTCTATAGAGAACGCACGGCTCCCGTTCTACAGAAACACACGTAGATAGAATTCGAAGGGAATTGATGAATATATTTACAAAATATTCTAATATATCAAGTCGCAAGTCAATCTACGACGAGCGGCTTGGGGTTCTCCCACGGGAAACCCTCTCGACCGAAGTGGCCGTACGTACTGGTCTTCTGATAGATAGGAGCTCGAAGGTTTAGTTCTCTGAAAATAAAAAAAACAGACAATGTAACAATGATTGCATTGATAAATGCAAGTAAACAAAAAAAAACAATTAAATCACGTTCATTTAAATAACAATCATTTGCGTGTAAGTACATACTTGACTATTTTTCCTGGTCGAAGGTCGAAATTCTTTCGTACGATTGCAAGCAGTTCCTGCTGTGTTTTGTGCGAGGTGCCGTAGTCGAACACTGTTATAGACAGCGGCTCAGCTACACCAATAGCATAGGCCACCTGGTAAATATATAATATATATATAAAATAATTTTTTCATTCAATCTTATATTCATTCGCCTCATCCACTGATTGTCTCGATCAATAATAATTCTTACAATAATATTGAGTCCCTGATTCTATGTATTTATAATGTAAGTCCATTTATAATCACTACTAACTATGTAATGTGAAGCAGGGTAAATTAACATATCATGAGCCCATTAATATCTCTCATTATTAATATTGGATTGCTATACAAGTTTCAAAGTAATAGATATCATTACCTGCACCATACAACGACGGCATAGCCCAGCACGTACTAAGGATTTTGCCACCCATCTAGCGGCGTAAGCGGCTGAGCGATCAACTTTAGTGAAATCCTTCCCTGAGAATGCTCCTCCGCCGTGTGCGCCCCAACCGCCGTACGTATCGACTATGATCTTACGACCAGTCAACCCAGCATCCGACTACATATAAAAACAATAAATTATAATTAAAACCAGGCAAGGCAGATAATGGCTAAAGGGCCCTGACCCTGGGAAAATGCCAGGAAGAAGAATAAATTATAATTAAAGAAACAAAAATGTTATATATACTCTCCACTCTTACTATTCATCATCACACTACATAATGTTCGTTTCCAGTTTTTCATTCATAAATTCAAGTGATAATATCAAAGTTGATTGTAGTGTTATGAGTCAAACTTGAGGTAAAAGCACAGAAACACTTAGCCTCATTAAAATTTAAAGTATGTAATCTTCTACTATGTGCCTTATTCATTATAAAAATGTAATTTTCACACTATGGTCATTATAATTCAAAAGCACTAAAGAAACCTATGAAAAGTAATGGCTCTGTTATTTTGTACATATTATTTATAAATTTATATAATATAGTTAGTCCCTCTTTATTAATAAATAAAAATAGGATATAAGGTTAAACTTATGAATTAAGTTAACAGATAAATATATAACTACAGTAAAAAAAACTTGTCTTTAACTATTTTAGTATTATATTAAAATTTTGTTTATTAAGCCACCTTGAAATATATTTAAAACTTACAATAAATTGTTTAAACTGAATTTAGACCTAACATTATGTCTAACACATGGTAATTCCATAATATATATTAATTCATAGAAGTCAATCTGAATATGAATGAACAATAGAAATTACTAATTTTCAGTTACAGTGAATTATTTCATGTGAAGGGATCCCAACAATTCTCGAACAATGGTACTCTTAGCCATATGACACTATAGCTTTGTTTGGAGACATATACAATAAAACTAAGATCAAATATCAGTACAATTACTATGTTTAACCAACTTCACCAATAATTGTATGTAGTTTATATAGATCAGATTTATTAAGTATTTTGGTGTATTAAGCTTATATATAATAATTGTATAAATAAATATTATATACCTGAGGTCCACCAATTATGAAGAGTCCACAAGGGTTTATGTGTATGACTGTTCTTTCATCAAGGTACTGGGCGGGAATCACTTCATTGATTACTTTGTTCTTAATTTCTTCACGCAATGTCTCCAAGGTTACCTAAGATTAGCATACATTCCAAATAAATGATATATTTTAATGTATATTAAGAATTAAAATTCATTGTATTCAAATTGCAATTAATTAGTTAATTATTTAAAATGTATGAATATAAAAGCAATTAAGATAAGTTTTCATAATAGGAACTTTTTATGTGTTTATATTTATGTGTTTTTTTATGTAGTTTAAAGATATTTGTATAAAAACAGACCTTTTCAGAGTGTTGTAGTGAAACAACAACAGTGTGGACCCTTTGTGGAACAGTGGCACCTCCGGCAAATACATACTCGCAAGTAACCTGGGATAAGTTTAATATTAATGAATAAAGTTTTACTTAAACAAAATATATCCATGTATTTCATTTTTCACAACTTAATTTAGTATCAAGAAAAAGGTCTTATTACATATAAGGATGGATTTATAAATCATACTTGTTGCAAAACAATATACTTCTTGTATTACATTAATTTGCCTTAGAATTTCAATCATTCTTTTATCTAAAGAAACATTAATCAAAATGCTTCTATTAAAATATTCTATGCATTATTCCTTCCAGAAAATTGTAACAACTAAAGTGTATATACACATTTGAATAAAATATATAGTACTAAAAATTTTGGCTAAACTTATTTGTTCAATGACAGAAGTTATTAAACTAATAAAACAAAAGATTCCTGATAGTGTTCAGGAAATGTGATGTAATAACTAGCAGACATTAAATAAAAAAATATATCACTTATTTAAATGTAAACAAGCATTGAGTTGATATAGGTTGAAGGTTGGGCCGTAAGAATTAAAAATGATATACATAAAAAATATATACTATTCTGAAAACCTATTGAACTATAAAAATAATAATATTTCAGGGAAACATCAGTTTTGTTGATTTGCTTGCTTATTTTATGTTCTAGAAGTTTATTTGAGTTAATTTATAATCAGACCTGTGTCTTTGAATCTGGTCTCGCCCACCAGAATTCTCCATTGCGACGTAATTCAGCAATCTTCTGATTCAATCTATGTGCTAGTACCACAGTCAGTGGCATGCATTCTTCTGTCTCATCAGTTGCATAGCCAAACATCAAACCCTGTGCATATTAAATAATTATCATAAAAATATTCTTCAAAACATATATTTCTTTTAAAGTAATTTTTATATTCATTATGGGCGTAATTGATAAAGAAACAATTTAATATATCATGTCTGACATTCAACACTCAGTGAAGCGATTGTATTTTTAATGGAGCTTTAAAAAATTTATGGTTTTTATATATCAACATGCAACATGATGTCCCATTGTGTGATGGTTTTTTTCAAGAATCTTTGTTATATTGAATTATCATTTTTTTATGGTGATATTGTAATAGTTGCGATGTAATCTTGAGTTATACCTGGTCTCCGGCCCCAACTTCTTCATCGTTTCTGTTTTCATGCACTCCAGCGGCAATATTTGGTGACTGCTGATCCAATGCAAGCATGACACTGCATGTCTTGTAATCAAATCCTGCCCCAACATGCATTATGATTATTATAAAGAAACTAGACTTGCCGGGATGACCTAACATGCCCTAATTCTCCCACAGTATTTCCCATTGCTACATGCAATTTTTCCTATACTGTAGTCCCGTGCAAGATTCGATTTAATATAATACCTGATCGCCGGCCCCAATATCAATTTCCTCTCGGTCTTGATAGACCCCCTCACGAATATTTGGACTTTGCTCTTCAATAGCCACTAACAAATTTAGTGTACGCCAATCAAAACCTAGTGTGTACGAAATAATTATATATTTGAATAGAACATAACAGATCAATATTATGAACCTTGCAACAGTTGGACAGGAACCAAAACAAAAATAGGTGGTATAATATATTTTACCTTCTCACTGAACTTACCTTTAGAAGAATCGTCATATCCAATGTGTTTTACGGTTTCTCTGACAACATTTTGATAGTCAACGTTTGCTTTTGATGTTATTTCACCGCACAGCAAGATCATTCCCGTCTTAGTGACAGTTTCTAAGAATAAAAATATAAACATAACCTCTATATATTGAAAAACAATTTTCATTTAGGTTTTTATTTAGCTGATTTGATAGACTACTCACCACAGGCCACTTTTGCGTCGGGATCTTGTTTCAAATGCGCGTCAAGGATAGCATCACTTATTTGATCACACATTTTGTCTGGAATATGCATTTGTAATTAATATGTCGCCTAACTAGTAATACAAGAAACCACATGTTTGTGTGTAATAATTTAAAAGCACGTGTTTTAAAAACTGGATATTATGCACCGTCTCGTTGAAATTATGATGTAACCTGACAAGGTCTTTTCATCACAAAATATCACATGTGAGTTTGGGTCCTTAACCAAACATTTTTATTTAAAATCACTATATATAAACTTCATTTTTTTTTTCATTATTGATGCAATATTTGAGCACATGTTCGAGGCGGCCATCTTTCATAAATACAAGACAAGTCCTGAACTCTTTACAAACTAACCTGGATGGCCCTCGCCAACAGATTCCGATGTAAATAAAAACACTGATCCATCTTCCATGTCATAGCTGTGACCATTTGTTTTTGCATATCCATTCATTTTTGATGTTTCCGGCATTCTGAATTAGAGTTAGCTCACTAAAATAACACGACAATACACCCTCGAATTAATACTGTGGAAAAGAGGCCCGGCGCAACTTAGCTCTCGTATTTATAAGGTCGGGATGGCGCTATTGAGTCTCGTATATCGACCAATGAAATTACGTATTGACGGATACGACACAACGGAGAATAGAATACTATTGGTGGGAATGTTTTTGTTTTGGTTCTGTTATAAGCTAAAATATATGTGATTAGAAATATAGCAAAACCACCAAAATTTAAACTTTATACACTAAAATAAAAATAAAAATATATTTTTTCCCATTTTAAACAATACTTTTAAATGATATGTACAGTAAAAAAAAATTGTAATAAAATATCTCTAAAAACAAATCACTAATTTTGCTCTGAAGTAAATTTAGTAATTAAATTATTTATTTTTCCGTCGTATATTACCTGATTATAATTAAAGATCAATAATTATTTTACATCAACAAAGCAACTAACTGTATAGCCTTCCAAACACCTCGGCAACTCTTTAAGATCTGAAAGTGAACTAACTCATGTATTAATTTTAAAGATATATGTATGTGCGAAATTTGCATTTCATTATTGTAGTTCAATAGTATAAGAGCTTCGTATAAATATATCTTTACACTCATAACACCACAATAGCTCTTAGAAATATAAAATTATTATCAGGAAAAGCTGTATTAGGATAGATATTGTATATATTTTAATAAATAATATTAGCAATATCTTGTAGATTATTTCTAATATTTTTTTTATTAATGTATATATTCTTTATTGTTCTCACTTAATTAAAAGTAACAAAAAATAAATAAATTAATAACAATGTTTTATTTGTATTGTTATTTAATAAATATTTAATCGTTATTTAGTAAATATGTAGTTTTAGGTCGAGATTGCGCAATATGGATGGAATTCTCGTAATAAAAATAATATTTTTTTAAAACGGTTTTTAGCTCTTAGACTCAGAAAGGGTCGAAAGTTCAGAGATTATTATGATACTTAGATAATAATATGTCATTTTATAATTCAAAAACAATAACAAGACGTTCAAAATATGTTTAATTCTATTAATCACTTTTTGCTCTTTTTATAAAAGTTTCAGCATTTTTATCTAATTATTATTTTATTTGTGTTTGTAATGACAGTAATAATGATAAATTAAGTGTAATTAATATGAAAATAAATTTTGCTTCTTTCAGTTTTGAGTAGTTTCAGTTTTGAATAGTTTCCTATCAAAATTTTGTGTTATTTTATAAATCGAAATCATTGTAAGTATTAAAAATTTCTTATTTGTGTGATTCTAGTCAATTTGAATCTTAATACATCATTAATTATTGCGATGTTAGGGTTTGAGAAAAAACGAAAGGATATTCATTATTTGTGAAAATGCCATAGAAAGCAATTATGTATGATCATGGCTTGTCAACCTTTTAAATATCGTGCTGTTTCTAAACAAGTAAGGTAAGCAGATGCCAAAATAATTGGACTTCCATATTTTGTTTCATGTTTTTGTGAATTCTTTCTTATAATAATTACTTGTGATTTTCGTTTTAATTTAATATTTCCCGGATATTTGGTTCTGACGCTACTAATTGAATCTCCTGAAGGGATGTCTATTGATGATAATATTATTAAATATTTATTTTATTTATGAAAACAGTGGAAATTTTTGAGAGAAATTATTTTATGCCCATAAAAAATCTTTTTTTTTATTATTTTTTTTTTTTTTGAACGTCTAGTATAATAAATGGAAAAGAGTAGAACTTAGATTTATATTAAGTAGTCATAGTTTTTGCTTATCCAATATTTTGTATTCTTACGTATATTAATATTTGGAGAGGATATAATGTCATTAATTTCCCTTGGGCCTAAAAAATACAGCTATGCGTTTAAAAAAATATGTATTTTTTTCATTTTATTTATTTTATTATACATTTATCTATAATCGCAGTAAGTATAAAAATAGTCTTTGTAATATTTTATATTTTTTTAAAATTTGTCACGCATACGTATTTAGTTATTCTGATATTGTAATTAACTAAGCCTTAACTAAAACGAATTACCATGCAAATGTATACGTACGTACGATACTGTTCCTTATCACTTGCTTATAATATATTTTATGCTTTTGTGATATGTTTATAAAACTCTATAGAAAAATTATTACATCCACAGACATTTGAATATGAAACCGGTTTTTACTTATTACTTTTTTTTTAACATAATTCATTCGTCTATAATTATTAAAATATTATGAATAATTTATTATGGTGTGCCATATTTTATTTATAGATAATTTTTAATTTATAACACTTTAAATATTTATTAATTTAAAATTATATTATGACTGTAAGATAAAGAGGATCGCTTTTCATTAATATTTAAGGCGACGACACATTTGGAATAACACCTACTTTCCAAAAAAGTAGAAATCAACTGGACCTTAACATTTGTCATTGTTTTAATTTAACGTAAACAGGAAGCGTGTTATCGAAGATTTCTTTAAAATAACTTTTAGATACGTCGGTTTTTAATCAACAAATATTACCAAAATTCCTTATTCTATACCTACTTACTATTGACTCAAACCTATTTCCTTTTTCTATCTGCATCTTTTTTTTCTGGACAACAATTGAAGCTAAACACTTGTATAATCTTAGTTACTGATTACAACATCCTAGTAAAAATATAATTTATGAATAAAACGTATTCACTTATAAATTTTTATCCTCTGTCACTTATTGCATTAAAGACTATCTTGGAGTAGGGTAAAGTAAAGTCGGTTTCGCTTAGCTAAACTACTATTTATTTTCAAATAATGATATTCATTTCCTAATTTACCGCAAATTTTTAAAGTAAAGGATTTGTAGAAAATTGTTTGCATATCAAAGTTTTATTTGAATTTGAGAATATAGTGGGTAGAGATATCCGTGATGGTAAAAGTTGTTTCCTTTATGAGCTACTTGAGTTAAAAAGGCTTTAGTAGCTCTGTAGGTGCATAATTTAAAATTGTGTAGTAAGTATTTTCTTCTTCTTCTAAATCGGGCCCTAACTTCTGAAGATTGTGACTCCAGAATTTCTGGGCAAGCTGCTTCCATCGGGCACGTTTAATCGCTTGATGGAGTGTGACGCTGGCAGGTATTTCCAGGTGTTCTGGAATTTCTGGTGGTCAACCTTTTGGGATTTCGGCCTCTAAGTTCTTTACCGTCCATTTTCTAATGACCAAAAAATGCCATGGTGCGCTACGAACAGATATTAGATAAGCGCTGACCACTTTGAATTTTGAGATTTTTGATTATAGAGACGATCGTATGCCGAGCCTCAAAGGTATGTGTTACATACGTCGCTAGTACTAAATTTCAAAGCCATCAATTCTTTGCATGTCAACGGCTTTGATAGTCCACATCTCTCCATCATAAAGAAATCTCTCCAAATTTTATTCAGTTGAGACATTGCTGTTTTTCAAATTTTCAAAACTATCTTCATTTGTAATCACTGAGCCTAGGTATTGAAACCGTTTCACAGTTTTATACCTTTTCAAGAGATCAGTGCTTTGGATCGTTGCAAAATCCGTCAATCAACTTGATCTTGGTCTTGTTTTTGACAAGTCCCTTATCCTGGCTGATTATTTTCAGTCGTCTAAGCAGTTTCAGATGATGCAAAAAGTATGGTATCATTGGCATAACGTAGATAATAGATTAGACATTTTTACTCCACCTATCTTGACACCACCTTCCCAGTTTTCGAGTGTATGTAGTATCTAAGTATAAGAAAAATATTAACACGCTCTCTTTATTCGTGTTTTTTAATTATCTCAAAAATTTACATTACAATATTACTATTTCTTTTTTTATTAAATACGGTTTAAAAAGCTATTTATTTTGTATATAAAAATAAAATCAACATTATACATCAAAACATGAATATTTATTAAACAGATTTATTTGTGTTTAATACTAAAAAAGAAAAAAAAATAGCTGCGTAAATTTTTAGATATAATAATGATTTTATTTAATCAAACCGAACAATGACTTTTGACTCGAAATCGTCATTGGAGAATCGATTAAGATTTATAACATGTTACGTAACAAATGATTAACTACGGAGTTGAATGACGTCATCGACAGATTGTTTGAAATCACACTTTTTATCGTCCACGTTATCCGGTGGTTGTTTAATTTTCTGGTAAAATATTTAATTTTTATTACTATATAAAATTAAAGTAGAATTTAGTTACAAATGGATACTGAAAGCTGTATATTATAAACAATTGAAACCTTATTCGTTTGAAAATTAGATGAATTTGTTTATATCAATATAAAAATAAATAGTGATATTTTTAATACATAATTTTTTTTAACATGTCAACATACATTTAAAATCCCTACTAATATTATAAATGCGAAAGTAACTCTGTCTGTCTGTCTGTCTGTCTGTCTGTCTGTCTGTCTGCTACGCTTTCGCGCCTAAACCACTGAACTGATTTTAATAAAATTTGGTACAAAGATAGAGTTGACCTTGAGAAAGAACATAGGATAGTTTTTATCCCAGACTTTTGAAAAGTTCCCTTGGAAACGCGATATAACCGACCTCCACGCGGGCGAAGCTGCGGGCAGAAAGCTAGTATGATCTATAAAGCTATTTCTATAGAATTCAATTACGATTATGGAATTCCTAAAATCTGTCAAATTTAGTTTTGACATAAAAAAAGTTTTCGTTCGTTTAATTTCGAACTTTATTTATTATCTTTGATTTATTAATTCCGTGTACTTAATTTCCTTGTAATACTGGAAACTTCTTAATAAGTGTTGTGAAAATTATATGAATAATAAAGATAACACAAATTCCTATGTCATCGTGTGTTAGAAGGTTAGGCCACAGTGGCCTATATTACGATGAATTTTAATTATACGATAAAGTTACATATTTTTTTATATATAAATAGTCAAGACTGCTAGTAAAATAAACCAGATTTACGTTACA